TCTGCATGCTTCAAACTTACAGTGCGGACACTCAAACTGGGACATGGCCGTACACTTGGAAGAACATTGTACAATCACAACGTTTTCTGAAAACAAGATTCTCAAGTTTTGTTTGCATGTGGGCCGTGCAACAACATCCATCAATTTGAAGGCTGTTTCCTAAGAGATCAGGTAAGTTTTTTTTTTTTTGTAAACATTTCAACGGTTGCATAGTTGGATACTTGAATTTTATTGGTCTGTCTGCAAAAACACTTGAGAATCTTTTATTTTGAGAAAACGTTGTGATTGGACAATCTTCTTCCAAGTGTCTCGGTTTGATTCTCCGCACTGCAATGTACTACTTTAGTCTTGATGGTCTTTTTACCTACAGTAATGTTGCTAAAATGATTCAGTGTTTACCTACTACTAGCAGCTGCTACTCAGATTAATGCTTACAATCAAAAACATAATTAAAAAAATCTTACCATAGAAGGTAAGTGAGTTGAAAGTTACTTTTTAACTGTTATCGTTACCTTTGGAGGGTCGTGAGTTCGATTCTAAGATGGAGATCGGAATTTTTTCTGGGCTTTCTGATGTTAGATTTCTCCTTCTCCCAAATTAATGTAGTTTAAGTTTTGTTTTATCAATTTGCATGATTTCACAATTGCATTAAACATATGATTTATATGAATGGGCATTAACAAATGCTGCTTCGCTTTTTCTTGTTTTATTTATATGTAATTAATCGCCTTTAGTATAAGCAACATAAAGTAGCTAACTTTGTGCAGTTTAATTTTGATTTGAGGTTTTCAAAACAACTTAACTATTATAAACTGCCAGTTATCGTTTGGTCTGAATGTTTTATTTTTCAATGTCTCACGATTTTTAGTGCTTGCTTTTTTCTTCTTAATTGCCTGATTTTCAATATTAAAACTAAACAGTAAACGTAGGAGTTGTTCGTGAAGTGTTTCCTCATTGGTCGCAGAAGACAATAACACATCATTGTTTATCATTATTTCCTATTATTTCACAGTTAGGGTACCGAACCAATTGGCTTTTAGGGTTAGGAGAGCTGCTACATGCAGAAAATTATAACGGAGAAATTTTGGTAGTCACGTGACCGTACGTCTACCCGTCCCACCGTCCGACAATCTGCATCACAGGGCACCAACGTAAATTATAGAATAGTGTATGTATGAAAGTTACTAGCTTTCAATTGATTGCAGGCGTACGTTTATTTTTGTCAGCAGGAATTAAGTTGATTGTTTCATGGTTACGGTGAAAGGTGAATTCTCTCAGAGGGCCTTTTCATGAAAATTACAGTAACTACCAGACCTGGAAAACTGCTTTATTCGAGATCGAAGTTTTAAAATTGAAGGAAATGAAATAAAACTAACAGTTAGTGAGACAAAGTGTTTCACGTCTGTAAAATTTAGCGACTTTGCGAAGCTATACATTCGTTAGCTTTTAACAAATCACTCTCAACTTGCTAACTTGCTGTTGTAAATGTTTCATTGAATTTTCATTCATGTCATGACAGCGACTCAATAATTGTTCTTTGTCCCGTGCCGCTTAACTTGTTTTTTGAAGCCAGTGAGTTTGACTTTACCATAAAGTTCCGAAAATCAGCCTCCTGGCTTATAATTTTCAAAGGCCCTTTTTGAGGGGCTTACATTCGGAGGGGCTTATCTACGGAGGGAAATTTGCGTTTCAAAATCGATTGGGCTAGCCTTATAGTTGGAAGTAAATTTACCGTTTTTGCTTTGTTTTACTTACCCCGCAAGCAGTGGTTTCTCCAGGCCGGACGCTACAGTACGAAGGGAGAGAAACCACTGCGAACATCCGTCTGCTTCTTTGATCGAGCCGCCGTCCAGCGCTATGGACGAATAAATTAACTTTAAACATGTAAATACTGTTTGAAAGCAAGTTTAGCCTCTCGCGCATACTGTATGCTTACGCTTACAATTGTTGCCTTAACGCGAGCCTGCTGTAGATATTCAGTATTTCTTTGGATTATTTATTCCTATCTACTTACTTTGTCAAATGTAGGCGAAACCAAATGGAGTTGAATTCCAAGGGACCATATCCAAGTTCAAGAGCGAAAAGAAGAATAAATTTCGTCGTTGCTTGTTTACGTTATCCATAAAACGCAAAATTAGGCATCTTCACGTCGTAGTCGTACAAAAATGGCAAAGAAATGCAAAAATAAAAGCGTGATGCACGTGCAAAGTTGTTGTTTTGCTTATTAAACCTATTGTTTTGTTGAAGTTCTCGTTGCCTTCTTGTCGTTGGATATTCGTAGTCATCACGTGGACGCGCATGCTCGATGGAAAAGCAAACGGTTGCTCGCAGTGGTTTCTTTCCCATCGAAGCGTAGCGTCCGGCCTGGAGAAACCACTGCTCGCAGGGTATGTTTTACTTTGTATTTGAGGGCAATTTTCAAAGTACAAGCCCCCGGGGGCTTATATTTGGAGGGGCGATTTAACGGAGGGTTTTTTGCGTTGCCGGTTTGGGGGGCTTACATTTGGAGGGGCTTATTTTCGGAATTTTACGGTGTTTTACTTCACTCCTTGATTAAGCAACTTGTAACAGTGTTGTAAGGAGATTCTGTTTTCATTCAGGTTTTTTCAAGGTCTTTTAGGTCTTAAATTTCGAGAAACCGATTGCCACCGACCTACCATACGGTAAAGTTTCGATTAAAGAGATTTTCTCCAATAACCCAATCCAATTCACAGATACGATTTAAATAAATGTCTAAGTGCGTGATTTAACTCGAATTTGGAGTATACCAATGCGTGGTGAACTCAGAAAGTAGAGGGCGAACTTGTATGGGCCTAATTCACTAGGGTGCAAACTTACTGATATTCATTGTTTTCGGTCTTAGATCAAAGCAGTCAGTCAAAATGCCGCGTGAATCAAATATTTTTCAAGATTAAATAGATAAAATAAAATATCACTTCTTGCGGTCAAAGTAAAGTTTTCTAAAAAAAAATGATTCTCTGGTCTTTTTCCTTATGGAAATACTTGTTTGAGTTGAAACTCCATACATTATTTTAAAATTTACATCTAACTAAATTGGACGGCGCGTGTACTGTCTGTGATCGCTAACATTGCTGCGAGCCCTCAGTCGAGCAGCACACTAATCTTTGGGTCTCCTGTGGTTCCTTGGGTGTCCTGTCGCTATTTAGATGTTACAATCTGGATCAAGAGACTATAAAGGGGACAGAGAGGGCATCCCCCATATACACCCTATTCCATAGGTAATTCGTCTCGTGTTATTTTTAACACCACAGATCTCAAGGGGGATTAGACAACAGCCAATCACATAGCGCGAATGTGTTCCGCGTGGATGACCCACGCTGAGAGCCACGCGTCCTTCACGAAATGACGCAGAACAAAATGGGAGAAGACGCGGAGAGCGATTTTGCTATTCCTTTTGTCGACGAAAACGACTACAGCGAGATTTCTGCGAAAGCTGTGTCAGCGAAACCGAAATTAAAAAAGAATCGCCCTTCCTCTCTTGTATAGAGCTAACAGTAGAGCAGGGAAATCCTTAACACACTGAATATTCTCTCAGGATCATTTATAATTTACAGTTTGAAGAGAGCAATTTCTGGTTTGATGTTTATTTTTTTCAGTCTTTATAGCGATTATTCCTACCCACTTACTTTGTCAATTGTAGGCGAACCCTCCTAACGCTGAATTTCAAGGGACCATATTCAAGCTCAGAAAGAGAAATAAAATTTCGTCGTTGCTTATTTACGTCCTCTATAAAACGCGAAATTAGGCATTTTCACGTCGTAGTCGTGCAAAAATGGGAAAGAAATGAACAAAAAAGTGTGTTGCACGTGCGAAGTTGTTGTTTTGCTAATTAAACCTATTGTTTTTTTGACGTTTGTCGTCCGCGTCGTTGGATCTTAAGTCCCCAAATTGTACAAACGACCGGTTTCAATAGACCAGCGAAATTTCTCATTTTATTAAAGCACTGAGGTTACGACAACTTCGAGTTAAACTGATTTCACGGGTTGTCAAAGAGTCCAGCGATTTCTTTTTCCCAGGTGAGCGCCGACTCATTTCGCTTCAATATTCAGGAATGCTCTCAATCTTTCTACGCTTTCATTGCCTCTCGCCCGACATGTTTTGCACGGCGTTTGGTCATGCGAAACCTCCACGAAACATCCACGCCTCGCGCGAGGTAACTTTATCCCGATTCTAAAAATAACTCGAGACGAATTACCTATGGAATAGGGTGTATATGGGGATGCCCTCTCTGTCCACTTTATAGTCTCTTGTCTGGATTTATGTTTGTCACGAAGATTTTTAGCAGTTCATTTGTTATTAATGTAATAAGGGTTCAATTTAACTTAGCCTTTATTTGTCCTCACCTGCAATATCAGTGTACTGTGCTCTTTTCTCCAGCTTTAGAGCAAACTTTATAGCATCAACAGTTAAAGGGTTACCACACACATAAAGCCACCGTAGCTCATTTAGGTCACCAATCTCAGCAGGTAATTCAGTAAGATTGTTTCCATCCACGTTCAGCATTTGAAGCCCGTTCAGCTTTTGAATACTGGTAGGTAAACCAACCAACTGGTTGTTCCTCACACTCAGCCGACTCAGCTCCTTTAGGTCACCAATCTCAGCAGGTAATTCAGTAAGATTGTTTCCATCCAAGTACAGCCTGCTAAGCCTGTTCAGCTTTTGAATACTGGTAGGTAAACCAACCAACTGGTTGTTCCTCACACTCAGCCGACTCAGCTCCTTTAGGTCACCAATCTCAGCAGGTAATTCAGTAAGATTGTTTCCATCCAAGTACAGCCTGCTAAGCCCGTTCAGCTTTTGAATACTGGTAGGTAAACCAACCAACTGGTTGTTCCTCACACTCAGCCACCACAGCTCCTTTAGGTCACCAATCTCAGCAGGTAATTTAGTAAGATTGTTTCCATTCAACTGCAGCTCTCTAAGCCTGTTCAGCTTTTGAATACTGGTAGGTAAACCAACCAACTGGTTGTTCCTCACAAACAGCCCCATCAGCTCCTTTAGGTCACCAATCTCAGCAGGTAATTCAGTAAGATTGTTTCCATTCAACTGCAGCCCAAGAAGGCTGTTCAGCTTTTGAATACTGGTAGGTAAACCAACCAACTGGTTGTTACTCACACTCAGCCACCACAGCTCCTTTAGGTCACCAATCTCAGCAGGTAATTCAGTAAGATTGTTTCCATTCAACTGCAGCTCTCTAAGCCTGTTCAGCTTTTGAATACTGGTAGGTAAACCAACCAACTGGTTGTTACTCACACTCAGCTGCCACAGCTCCTTTAGGTCACCAATCTCAGCAGGTAATTCAGTAAGATTGTTTCCATCCAAGTACAGCCTGCTAAGCCTGTTCAGCTTGTTAATACTTGTTGGCAACTCAGTCAGATTATTGTCTTTAAGCTCAAGTTTCCGCACTTTACTCAGTTCAGTGACTGCATCAGGTACCGTGGATAGTCCTTTTCCATCCAGATGCAAAGTTCCAAAACAGTCAAGGCATTTAGCTTGCAATTCAGCACTGGAATAATCCTCCATGTTTAAGATTATTAAAGCAGACTTGTCTTTTTTATTATATAACTAAAATGATTAAAAAAGTGTGTAGTTAGCAAATTAAACATTATTACCAGTCAATGTTTCTAAAAACCATATCGGTGAATTTTGTAGTAAAATAAGAAAAGAAAAGAAATCTGTTGTTAATTTTCAAAACACAGTATTGCATGACATCTTCCTGTATTACACTGATTACTCAAACTACCTGCCCAGGGTAATTTGGCCAGCATTATTTCATGTTGACAACAATGATTCTCAATGAAACGAAGACCAAAGCGATGCTCGCTACCGGTAAATGGATCGAGAAAAGAATGAATAACCAGCAGTTGCAAGTTAAATATTATAAATACCACCGAACTTAAACAAGTGAGCTCACAAAAACTTTTAAGTGTCACAATTGATCAGAAACTCTCTTTTGATGACCATATTGACGAACTCTGTAATAAGTTCTGTCAACGAATTGCCGTGCTGAGTAAGATTAAGTGATTAGTTCTTCCTTTGGAACAGAGGAAAGCGTTTTACAATGCCATGATAAAGCAAACAATGCTGTATGTCTCCAATGTATGGTCCGCGTGCTCCATTGGGAATTTGCAGAGAGTTTTTCGTCTCCAGAGGCGAAGATGTGCACGCATTATCCTTGACACCAGCACGCAAGCAAACAGTTATGAACTGCTCACGAGATTGGATTGGTTTCCCCTTCACCTTGAGGTGAAGGTGAACATCTGTGTTCAGGTTCACAAACGTATTAATGTGCGTAGCCCAGGCTATATGAGTGATCTCTTAGACGCTGTTTACATGGAGTGGGGGACCCTGGTCTAGTGGGGTAGGTTTCTTTTGTTTTATGTCCCCCAGAGCGTGAAAACAAAAGAAACCAACCCCACTAGACCGGAGTCCCCCACTCCATGTAAACAGGCCCTTAGTGTTGAATTCGGACATTCTGAATGAAGGAAATAACAGAAACCCCTTAAACTTAGTCTGCCCTCACTTTAAGTGTGAAATCGAGAGGGGGGGCGTACATTTGGTGTGAGGGCAAGATTGAAGATTGAATGTGCACATAGTTTTAAAAAGGCCTTAATTGACTTTTATGCTTCTTCTTAATTTTCTTTGTTGAATTTTTATTGTTTGATAACTTCCTAGTCACGACTTTTAATTGTACTTTTTGCTGTTATATTTTTAATTGTAATTTTTCGGATTATTCTATGTATATTTTCAATTGTGACTAACTTTTTATAATGAGGGCCGCTGGTTTGTCAGTTTACTGTTTTGCGTCACCCTCTTTAAATAAAGTTGATACATTACATACATCAGTCCAAAAAATGTGCAAAATTAAAGCAAGCAGGTAGTCATGGCCATGGAAACAAGGTGACAATTAATGTTAACAATCAACTTCTGGCAGTCGATTACTAAACTGATATGACTTCCAGAGAACTTGGTTTACGAAAATCATATACAGAGGATATTACATGGCCGCACGGAGATACAAAATTTCTCTTCGAGTGTTGAAAAATATTTCATGAGTGAGCGCAGCGAACAAGTGAAATATTTTTTCAACACGAGAAAAGAAATTTCGTATCTCCAAGCGGCCATGTAATGTTCTATTTATTATTATAAACACCAATGAAATACCAAACCATGTTAATTTAATAGTTTTTTGGTGTGAAAGGCGCGATTTATTATGTAGCCATGGCAAAGGTGATATTTTCACATGTGAAGATAACAATTGTTATTTTCACATGTGAAGATATCAAGTTTTCGCGCGAAAGCTCACCTGATATTTCATTGGTGTTTATATAATAAAACTGATTTTATAACATAGCGCGCGTGCTTGCCCTATATAAGTCCTATTGAGCCGCTATGAACAAAATCTTTATTTACGCACGCCCGTGCGTAAATAAGATGACGTAAGCATTCTTTTTACCTGGCTGCAGAGTTGTCGTCTTTTAAGCTGCAGTGCCGTTTTCCTTCTCTTTAAAATATGGAAGAAACCAGCGAAGAACTACCCAATTTTTCTGTCAGCATTGACCTTTTAGGTCCTGATCCAACAAACAGCAAAAATAGGGCCGAATTAAAAAAACCTCGTATTTCGCGCGTTTCGCAAATTTGTCGGAAGACCAGCTGCAGCAAATTTTGCCCGAAAGACATTCACTGGGAACAGAACAGACACCAACTGGTCATCAACAACATTAAGAGGTTAAATTTCCGTTTTTATTGTTGTTTTGAAATTTGTTATGCACTTTTGTTATCTCCGGACAATCCGACTGAAGCAGGAAGATTTCTCTCGCAATGATTTCTCTCGCAATAACAACACAAATTACACAAGAAGACATAATTTTATTACTCACAAAAACAACTGCTGCCAGGTCTTCTCAAGAAGCCGTAATGACCAGCCAATGTTTGTAAATGAATATGAGTTTAAAGAAGGATGACAGTTGTCTTCGCTAAAAACATGTTTTCTGGATTTCGCCGAGCAAAACGTAAACATCTTTTCAGCAAATCCAAACCATACTCCACGACTTCTTACGAACATGTTAGTATTTTAACTTAAGGTGAACTTTACGACTCTTTTACCTTTGTTTCTGCTTAGTTTCCATTGATCGTTAACGAATAAAGAAACAAATTTTCTTTCTCAGTTTTACAGAAATGCTACAGAAAGTATATTTTCATTCAAACTAGATGATTGTGGTGTGTTCGTAATCAGCGAATAGAAGCGTTTGTTATTGTGTAGCGCGTTACGAGAATTTTGTAGTTAATCAAAAAGCAAGCATTTTTGTCAGCTATGTTATAAAAGAATTTGCTCATGCTTTTAGCTGTGCGTATATCGAGTTATGGATGCACTTGGGAAGTTTGGAGAACACTCAAGAAGCTAGAGTTGCACTCGGCTATCGCCTCGTGCAACTCTTACACATCTTTCGTGCTCTCCAAACTTCCCGCGTGCATCCATAACTCGATATACGCACGCTAAGCATGAACAAATTCTTAAATTCCCATAGAACAGAGTGGGCGATTGATAATACCTTGACCATGTCAATTTAACAGAAGAATGCACAAATATTTTAGCTTGGTGAATGCTCTAGTGCCCTATCTAAAATGTTTTAAGACAAAGCTTACGTCAATGTTTAATATTGAAAAATATTCCTAATATTGCAGATTTTAGGAACGACATAATTTATCTGGCTTAGACTGTTGGTTATTACTAACTGGTACGAATCTTTAGCTTTCTTTTGTTTTATTCATTTTGCTGTCTTCCCTTTAATTTTTTACTTTGTGTTTTGAGTTAAGGTGTGCAGCTGTATTGACATGCATGATAGCGGTCCTTAACAATCACATAATCTTAATGTAATCACCTAAGTACGGCTGCCCTATCCTTTTAGCCCTCTATGGTTGCTGTGGGCAGCCGAAATACTCTTTTCTTACATTGATTTATATTTTGTACTCAACTGTAAATTGCTGGGTATGAATTCATTAAGAGTGGCTGTCTGTTATCGAGAATTCCCGTCAAAACTGAAATTTCAAAATTCTTTATAATCAGTCAGAAAAAACCCTTTGGTGAGACATTTGGAAAATCACAATCAAAGTTTCCAAAGAGCTTTCAAAGCTCATGGGAAGAAAAGCGGTTCAAAGAAACAAGTTCATCTTTGGAAGGTAAGAATTAATACTGGCATCCCAGCCAGTTACAATATATACTTTGGTTAAAAATATTGCAAGGTAATGCATTTTGTACTCGGCTAAAAAAAGACCCAAGATTCCTATCTTTAGCACTTTCATATTAAATAATGAAAATTTGCAAAAATTTTGAAGAAAAAAATCATAGCTTGGTACATGGAATTTTAGAATATTATACCTCAGAAACGTACAGCATTATAAAAAATCAAGCTTGGGCAATTGCAAAGCAACCCGCTGAGAGAGGTAAACGAGCAGTTCATTTTCGACGTGCATAAAATGTTGAAACCGTCATGCAACGGGGGATAAAAGAAATTCCATGAAATCATCGTCAGCATGTGATTCATCCTACTCAAATCTGGTTTGAGCTGATTCAAGAGACAAATGTACAAAAAATTTTAAAAGGATCAGGAATTAATTACAAAGAGTTTTAACAATTTTCGAATCGGGGTATCAAAATTTCAGTAAAAAACAAGGGATAAGTCGCCCCCCAAAAAAGGTGGGTAGCTCAAACCACTGGCCTCGACATTACTGATAGAGTCGCACAATTTGAGCGTGAGTCTCACCATTTCACAACCTATCTAACTGTCTCACGAGATGATAACCTACATGTATTATTTTTCACACTTTCTCAAAAGTCACACTCAAAAAAATCTATAGGGTTCATTTCAAGTTAAAGATAGCAAACTCAGTCTAAAGAAAATGCCTAGTGGTCACATGTCAAATCGCGTGCAGTTCGTCCAGTACAAAGAGACTTGTTCTATTAGGCTGACTCTGAGCTGTGGAGTCCCTCAAGGTTCTATATTAGGACCATTATTGTTTGTTTTGTATATCAATGACCTCCCTTGTGCTACTCGTCTTGCTGAAACTATGCTTTTTGCAGATGATACTAGTGTGTTTTATTCTAATCCCGATTTAAATTGTGCTATTTCTGCCGTAAATAATGATTTATCTCAAATTGATCTTTTTATGAAAGCAAATAAGCTCTCTGTTAACATAACGAAAACTAATTATATCATTTTTGCAGCAAGGCAAAAACCAGTCGGCTTCCCAATAAATCCTGTCTTGTATGATGAGGTTTTATTAAAACAAGTAAAGGTAGTTAAATTTTTAGGGGTTTTTATCGACGAGCATCTAACGTGGAAGCCGCATATTACTTATATATGTAAGAAAATTTCAAAATCTATTGGCGTCATGTTTAGGTCTCGTTTCTTTCTTTCTGAAACAACAAAAAAGTCTCTTTATTATACCTTAATTTATCCTTATTTAACATATTGTACCACAGTTTGGTCCTCCACTTATGTAACAAACCTTAATAGAATTTT